CATCATGGCGATGTCAGACAGCATGCCAGTGGCTCATGACTGACATCAGAATGCCACTAGTCCTTCGCCGTCCTGACACCATTCATTGCAGTTCGTTGTCTCATGATAAAAAAATTCCTGTTGTTCGTCCCCAGACTTTTTTCTCTTCTTGTTTTGTTACTTCGGCCGCCTCGGGGGCCCGCGAAGGCCCCTTTCGCCGCGGTGCGTCCCTCGGGGCTGTTCAGGGAGGACCCAAGCTAAGGTTTTTCTTCCTGGCAGAGGCCCCACAAAGGACTAACCGCTCTAAGGAGTAGTAACAAAACTCTCTCTTCTCTCTCTTCTCTTCTCTTCCTCTCTCTCTCTCTCTTCTCTTCTCTTCTTCTCTCTCTCTCTCTCCTCTCTCTCTCTCTCTCTCTCTCTCTCTCCTCTCTCTCTCTTCTCTTATCTCCTCTCCTCTCTCATTTTCCCGCCCTCCCCCCCTTCCTCCCCTTTCCCCCTCCTTCCCATACTCCCTTCTCACCCCCTCCCCCTCCTCTCTCTCCACCTATCTTCCCTCCAGTGATCTCTTTATGGAGGAGCACACATAACTGGCACGGCCTTTTATTTCCCGTTGAGGAAGTCCTCCCACGCTCGTTCGGATGAGCCGTTGAAGGGCGTGGGCGTGAGTCCGCGAGGAGGGGGATAAAGGCTTTTTCCTGCCCGGACGCCGAGGCTCGTGGTTTCCGTGGTTTATTCCGTGCAAAGACGTGGCTCGTGGTCGTGGTTTTTCCGTGCAAAAGACCGTGGCGTGGCTCGTGGTTTATTCCGTGCAAAGACGTGGCTCGTGGTCTCCGTGGTTTATTCCGTGCAAAGAACGTGGCTCGTGGTTTTTCCGTGGTTTATTCCGTGCNGCCATTTTAGCTTTTGGTCATACATATATTTGTGTATATATATATAATATAAAAAGTGTGTGTTTTTTTTGTGTGTTTGAAGTGTGTAGCTGTAAGTGTGAGTGTGCTTGTATATATATGCATGTATGTATATATTCATGTTTATGTATAAGTGTGCATTGGTATAGTTATCGGTACAACACACATGCCTTAACCATAATCAGTGATTAATTATAATAACTTTATTTAGAGAATCAGTGTACTTTGGTTTTTCATTCTGCAAGAAAGCTTTATGTTGACATTGGCTCAATCAGCGCCTTCTTTAGGATGTCAGTAGCTGCCTGCACAAAGGGCCCATTCCTATAATGGCCAAGATATATGTTTTTTCTGTGACATTGGTTGTGGAAAGAATGGTCATATGGAGTCCCAAATGTAGTGATAGTTTGGTGATGGGTTCAATTCAGAATTGTATTTTTTTAACATTGGCCATTTTAGCTTTTGGTCATACATATATTTGTGTATTTATTTATTAATTTATTCATATATCTTAATTCCTGGTATTGAAAAAAGAAAGAAAAGATGCTAATCAAACGGGTTTGAAGCATTATCTTATCTCCACTGAATTGCTAATGTAGTTGATAGGTAAAGGGATTATCTTTCACAATGTTTGTGGTTAAGAAAAGCCAGCTTCCATGATTTTCAGAGATGAAATATTTTTAGTCATTATGCTGAAATTAGAAATGTCTGAATATTTTTTCTAACTGATAACTGTAAGAGATTTAGCAGCAGAGGAATTTATAACAACAAATTCTCAAAGCAGCTTTTCATACCTATCATTGAGAGGGAGGGAACCTCTTTGATAAGAAGAGATTAAATGAGTCTTTACTAATGCAACTTCAGTGCAAGTTGCTCGCTTACATGTGATGTGACAGCACAATCTCCACAACCTTCCTAGCAAGTCTTTGCTCTTTATTTGTTTGTTTCTGTTGCTTTTCCTTTCTGTGTGCACTGGTTGAGTTAGAGGCAATGAATGGATGAATAATCTGTTATGATGTTGGCTTTGAAGAATGTATTGTACTAATTTACATTATGTATGGGTAAATGTCAAACCTGGAGTACCTTCACAGTTTATTTGATGTCTGCTTTTAGTAAAGAATAAGATTGATATTTATTTGGGTCACACTGAGTACACTATTTCATTACCTTCTTTTTGTTATGTCTCTGAAACATTAATACTAATATGGCTCTCATCAGTGTTTTTAGTGTGTTTGATTATGATCAGTGCATGTTGTGTGATATGATATGTAGTAGTTGATATTGATAAGATGAAAAATTCCATTTATATTTGCTTTAATAATTATGCATTCATCCATTATTTTATGGTTTCTGCCATTTAGATATAAATAGATGGCGACTTGTTTTGGAAACTCACAGTAGATCGCATGAGTGAGGCACAAAAGAGATGGTCTTTTTGCATTGTGAAAATTCTATAATATAATGTTATATAAATTTTAGATAGATAATGGATTACTCATAAAAGATGTTCATAAAATAGAATTTGACATGCGAGAGTATAGGTTTGCTGTGGATAGAAAATTATCACATGGAATGGAAAAAAAGTTTGCAGGGGAATGTTGATTTTAATTCTTTTGTAAACTTGATTCTTGTATGAAAATGTAGCATCAGTAAACCTCTCATGAAATTGCTTAACCAGCCCAAATTGACCTTGAAAGTATATATCTACTAGAAATTTAAAGCCCCATCCTTAGGTTAGAAAGATAACAATTGAGTAAACATTGTTGTGTTTATATTAATGCTTGGAATAAAACTGCTTTCATACCCCCACTTTTTTTAGGGCGCAGGGGGGGGGGGCAGTTACACCTTTTCCTCCACATCCTATTTACTTACTATTTTTAATACTCTTATCCACTTTTTTTACTTTCTTTTGGCTCAATTTTGTTGTTATATCCAATATTTTCAATCATCTTCACAGGCCCCTGTAAGCATTTCAGCTGGTGAAATTAGAATTATTTAAAGAATTCAGTTTCAGGCATCAATATTGTTTAAGATAGACTTTATGTCCCAAATGTGATTGCAGTACATATGTCATAAGGCTATGCTTCATCTTTTCTGTGAGTTGTCACTGTGAACCTTTCTTTCAACAGGATATGCATATGAGCTTTTATTTCTCATCAAAAGTCTATGACTTCCTGTTTTATGGGGTCAACATCACCACAACATGGGGTAAGAAAGAGATTTGTTGTTTATGAGATACTGTGATGCAATTTTTTTTTTTCAAACTAATTTGGTAATAGATTACATTGATGAATGGAAAAACACTTTACCTTGTTGATATTATGGTAGAAAAAACCACAATGCACAAATACTGCATTTATTTGTATGTTCTCAGTGAGGTAATCAAGATTTTTTTATGGATAGTGATGCATATTTATATGATATGATTATAAATATATGAATATATAGATAGATAGATAGATAGATAGATAGATAGAAAGATATAGATATAGGTATGAATTATCCATTTTCTTACAGACGGTTATGATGAATATGCAAGGTATTTTGCATATATTATTATCGTTCTTCACAAGGGATGTCTGCAGAAAGAAATGAAATTATTCACACTAAATCTCCTATTTGTTATCATTATTATCAGATTATTATTTTTTTATCATAGTCTTATTGTCTTTCACTCTGATGTCATCACTTTGTATTTCTATAAATTGTTCTCATTGTAGTTAGTATCATCAAAGTCAAATTATTGTAATCATTATTGATTGTTTACACTACAAATCAAATACTTCTTAATTCAAATTGATACCTGAAATCTCTTCATTATTTTGATTTTCCATCCACAGATTTTTCTCGCTGTCAAATTTCATTTGTCCTCTCTCCATCAACAGGCATGGTGTCCCTGTGTCTAGGCCTGGTGTCGCTCTCCATCCTGGCTGAGGGCTTCAAGGTGGCAAGGTCGCAACTCCTGAAGGTGGCCATGTCCAGACGTACAGGATGCACCAAATATGAAGTGCCAGAAAGGTCGCCCCTCTTAATGTCTCAGTCGTTTCTTGGCCGTAGGAATGAAAAGCTGTTGTACAAACGCAGGTAGCTTTGGGTTTGGCTTTATGGTAGTAGTGTGTTTGTGTGTAATGTACTGTAATACTGTAAACTAGATTGGTATAGAGTGCTTGTGTGTACATCTATATGTGTAATAGATTTGTTTATTTTGAAACTTTGTATGTAAACGAGATTTTCTTCATGTGTCTATATAAAGTATAAAATCCGTATAATGAAAAATATATCAAAGTTCTTTCCTTTATGTATCTATATAAAGTATATACAGTGCATGAAAAAATTTGGCTGAGGGGCTGATGATGGGAGTGCCTTGTCATGAGATATTGTTCGCAATTGGTGGGTGTAGGGAATGTCTCATCATGAGAGATTGGACTCAGTGAGCATTTTGTAAGAGGCTCTTGCATTATTTCTACCAGTAAATGAGGGGGGATTGTACAGACTGTGAGCCATGCTTGGAAGAATGCTAACTCCAGGGAGAACAATATTCCCATGCGCAGAAACCTGTTCCTGTCCACCATGGCTATCAGTGCAGGGTGATTTACGGAAAATTGAATAATCTGAAAATGATAAAAAGTGACACAAAGAACTCAATGTTGTTAATTTTGTTGTTGTTGCATTTAGTTGTTGAATGCCTAGACAGATAATTCTGCTCAATGAATACAGTCTATAACCACTTGATGCAGCATAACAAGTGACAAATTTAGACCAGGAAATGGAAAAATGGCCAAAAATGTAAATGCAGAAAAAAGAATGTTGTAGAAGGGGATACATCTATTACATGAATTGCCTTATTTCTTGGTGGATTAGTTGAGTGGGTGTGAGTGCCCACTGTTAAGGCTTAGTGCTGTAGGTGAAGTGGACTCCTCCAGGGGCCTGGAAAGACTCCCAAGTTGGCGAAGACTGGACATTCCTGTGTTGCTGCTGCATGGCTGAGTGCTCGGGAGTGTGATCCATTGCTGATCTTGGGTCCAGATCCCGAAGTCTAAGTATTCAGGAACTATGTCAGTGAATCAGGAATGAGGGGAGCCTGCAGTCCCGTCAGAGTTGCAAGGTGAGAGAGTTAGGCAAAGAGTATTGATACCGCCACACCTGAGTGTCTGTATGGGCCAGGGCTACAAGCCATGCACCCAGGAAAGTCACCACTCAAGTAAACCTAATGCTAGGATTTGGGTCCATGTGAGAGCCACTAGGCACCCAGATCCAATGGGTTGATTAACCCTATGCTGTTGGGAAAAAAATCAATGTAGGCTGTTTGCAGAGCATTGCTGTGTGCGCCTGTACTGGCTAACTGGTCATGGGAAGTTTCAGCTTTCTCTGGTGAGCGGCTTACGGGAAGTTGTGTCTGTCGATTTCACACTTTATTTATGTTTGGAGGTTTTTTGCTGGCAAATAGGACTTTTTGTACCATCTCAATGTACAAAGTCTGTAGTGGGTTTTCATACTACAATACGGCAATTTTTTCTTTTTCCAAAAAATAAGGAAATCTATGAAATATATTGCATCAGTAATATGTAGTGATGTTCTCAGGCCTTTTCTTCATGTGTGGAACACCTTGAAGCAAGAAGCCACACACAGGGATGCCCCACTAGTCGGAAACATGACTTAAATCTCCTTCCTTCGGCCATTCCTCCAGCAGAGAGCACACTGCCTCTACTGCTGATATGGAGTGTCTGCAGGCTTGTGTGGTGTCTCAGGATTGATCCAGGTGAGCAGTGTTTCAGAAGGCACCTGGACAGCCTTTAAGGTGCAGCAGCCCCTGCACCAGCTCTTTGTAGACCCCCTGATGCATCTTACCACTGAGGGCCTGGTGGACTGCCAGCATGTTGACAAGTGTCTTCTTGCCCTTCATGCAGATGCAGTCAGCGACAATTTTGGGCTTCGACTTATCTACCCATCAGTAGTACAGAGACAGGATAATGACCTTACTGGTGTGAAAGGAAGACAGCAGCTTCTAGAGACAGTCCCCTACATCATGCTAAGCCTAATTGTCTGCGGAGTAGACGGGGCATGTCAGAGCATCAAAGCCATCCCTAGGCATTGTCTTTGGGAACACGGCCAAATGCATTAAGGGACTGCACAACCAGAAGTCCCTCATATTAGGCCTTGGTTGTAATCTCATGAGGAACCATAGGCTGAGGTATGACTCAAGTTCCTGAACCATCATGTCCTCTATCCCTTCATGTGTGAAGAGGGTGTTCGAGGATGTAGGTGGGCATCACTGTAATTGACAGAAAAAAGACATTGTAAAACATAAGTTTACAAGAGGACATGCAGACTGCAAATCACCACACTTTCAAATCAACATACAAAAAACTAAAGGTTCGATGCTTATCATTCCATTTCCTCAGCAAGCTTCTGTATCAGTTCTTCTGTGCAGAAAGTGAGGAAGATATTGAAGGGTTTCAAGGTTCTGTATAATAATAATGGTATACAGAAACACAAGGTAATATGGTAAAGGAGTCAGGTTGCTCTTTACAAATCAAAGAATGATAGAAATTTTACCAGATAGATCACTTGCCTGCGATAGCTTCAAAGTTGGTGTGTAGAAGTCATCTGTATTGTCAACATCCTTGTTGGAGGATTGACAGTCTAAATACAACATTGGTTCAGTAGCAATTCTCAGGTAAGGAACACTCCTGGTGGTTGAAGGCCAAGGATCATCTACCATCTCCTCTGTGAGACATTCCATTATAAAGATATTAAATGATAAAGATATTAAATGATGATGAAGATACCTGTCACCAGCTTAAAAGTCGAACAGAGTCAATGACACCTATAGGTGCATCAGTAAAGATGCCAAAAATTTCCATGAGGCTTAAAGTTGTACCTGTCACCATAAGGTTAGATACCAGGTGCATTTTTTTTTTTGGGGGGGTCAATATTATATTAACTATCACCTTGTATAATTAATTATTCTAGATTCTTTCACTGTTATTGATAATTCCACTTCAGATTCAGATATTAATTATTGTAAATATTTTTTTTTTTCTTTCTTTCTTTTTTGGGGGGGCATTCCATGAAAATCTCCAAATAGTAGTGGGGGATCAGAACTATTACTTGGGTATGTAGCATGGACTTGATAGTAGTAAATATTAGTTATATATTTATTTGATTTGAATGTAGAACTGAACATAGAATCTCATGTGTAAAAGAGACATAAATGAGCTATATTGATATCTCTTTTCTTTTCTTTTTTTGTCAGTTTTTCCTTCTTTTGTAAAAGAATTGAAATTTAAATTGATTTAGTACGAGAGCCCAGAGAGATTTAATCAGCATGGAGATAACTGAATAAGATATGAATACAAATACCATGAATGTATTTTTCGGTACCTTCTACCTGAGTAAGGTCAAGTGAGGTCGTTATTCGAACATTCGCTAAAAATAGCAATAGCTTGTAGATATAAAGTTAAATGTGTAAAAAAATAAGTATACAGTGATCGAAACACAAGTAATCATATCGCCGATAGATTAAATAAAGAATTTACCATACTTAAATAATAAAAGAAAATTATATCTATAAAGGAAACAAATAATTACGGTGAAATATACTTTAGAATGTGCA